CCCCGCCGCCTCCCCGCCGGGCGGCCCCAGGGGCTGCGGCCGCCGGACCGGTGGGCACAGGGCTCCCCGAGGCCCGGCTGTCCCCGGGGCTGGAGCCCGGCCGCAGCTGCTCCCAGGACGCGTCTCCTGACTTTCGAGAGAGTTTCTTCCTGAATGCTGCCTTCGGGCGAGTTCGCCCTCCCCTCGCCACCGCTTTTCCCAGTTTTGCCTTGGAGCTCAGGCTGACCTAAATCCTTGGGCAAATAGGAAAGTGTGAGGGGCAAGGGTGGGGGCCGGCAGGGCGAGCCTCCCTTCCCCAAGAAGGGGGAAATGATGGACCCAGACAGCGACGGACGGGCGCGGGGCTCGGGGACTCGACGGCCTGGCCTGGGGTCGGCTTACCTGGGTACTTTGACTCCAAATCGGACCGAAAGTCCAAGGATACCTCTCAAGGGCTTCTGCGTTCTGTCAGTTGTCACACAAATATGTGACATACGCATGCACGTAGAGCACAAAGCCCACTGTCGTTTTTTCAGATGAGCCACATTTACATAATATCGTGAGTGTAAAGAGAGATTGGTTCACAGTGAGAATGTATATTCGGCTCCCAGAAGGGTGTCAGGATTATATGCAGGATGATTTTTGGAGGGCTGAAATTCATCATAAAATTTGCGGAGAAATTGATTTCTTTATATTAAATACTGCTAAGAAGGAATATTTGTTCGCAGAGTGAGGCATTTTGAGATAGAGGGGGAAACGGGGGGGGGGGTGATTACATCACCTCTCCCTTCAAGCAGCATAGCATTGAAGGTGGGTTCATCACCGAAATACTTTGCAAAAATAACTGTCGTCTACTCTGCATTTTGATATTCGGCCTCTTTCTCTTTGGAAGAAGCATCTTCTTTTACCCAGTTTTATTAGACAGAAACATTAAAATTCTCAATAATGTTGGCAAGTATGTCTATTATTTCTGCTAAGATTAGGCATCTACCTGTTCAGAATTTTCATTGTTACTCTATAAAGTCTAGTTATAACTTTGGAATGCCTGACAGAGGAGGTGTGTGTGTGTGTGTGTGTGTGTGTGTGTGTGTGTGTGTGTGTGTGTATGTGCATTTATTTTAACTGTTCTTTTGAATGCGATGGCATTTGTGACACTGCTTAAACTCGGAGTTCTCAGTGAATTATGGTGGGCTGGAAGTAAATACCCAGAGTTCTTGATCCTTTCTGCTTTCAATATACAGGAGATATTTAAAGACTCTAAAATGTATCTTAAGTATACCATTTTGATGCCTTTGTAAGATTTTTAAACCAGGGGATGACTGAGCTATCTATAAACCCAGATGCACGGGGTGGGGTGGGGGGAGAGAAAAAGCTCCGAGCTGCAGCATATCAGCTTTTGTCAACCTGCCAACAGCGGAGCGTACCATGCTGCAAGGAGTCATAAATAAGGAATTAGAAAACTCACTGCTGGTGGAGAATCGTCAAATTAAACACCTTTTGAAAGGATGAGCCTGTATCCATTGCAGTTCTATTAAATGTAGCTTCTTAGTGAGGCTGGGGTTGTGTGCCGGCTGGAACAGAAGGGAACTGCTGAAGCAGGAGTGGTCTGGTGACATTTTTCTGACTTGATTGGCTGGAGTGTGTGATGTAATAGGTTTCAGTGCAGCCCCTTATAGGTTTTAAAATGAATTCCAAGACACCATTACAAAGAAAGCCGGACTCTTTTCTTATAACTGAGCTCACCCAAGGAAACTCTCGCACAAATGTACAACACTGTTTGGAATATGGAAGACCTGGATTTAGAATATGCCAAGACAGATATAAATTGTGGCACAGACTTGATGTTTTATATAGAAATGGATCCACCAGGTAATACTGCGGTATCATTGTAGAGAGCTAGTTAATTTTGTGGATTAATTTTTTTTGAAAGCTACCATAACAGATCCTCTTTAGATTTGTATTTTCATTAATTTGTTTTGTTGATAAAGATTAGTTCGCCGGTAGCTTAAAAATTAAACAGATTGGTTGCCTGCCTGTGGAAGCCAGCAGACCAGACTGTGTGTGGTTAAATGCTTATTCTTACTCGAATGGATGGGAATTGGATTCCAGTTTTTCACTGGTGTCTTTTGTTAATCGTGGTCCTTCCCCAGGTGGGTTATATTGTTGTATATTGTCCCTGTAATTAAAATGATGCCTCTTTTGTGCTGCTTTTCTCTGTTGCCAGTGGATGGGAACAGTGTGGCACTTTGCAGTGATAACACTTGGTACTTTAGAAAGCATGTAGAATGTAGCAGTGATTGCAACTCAGATCCCTAGGACCTGAAACTATTCTAAATTAGATGTTGAGACTTTGCTTGCTCTCTTTTATTAGTCTATTATAATGAAAAAAGAAGTTGGTGTTCCATTATTTAGTCCTAAACCTTTATAAAATATTCTTGATAGACACCTGAAGTCATTTTTGCATAAATTAAAATAGTAACAGTTGCTTTAAAACTTATGACTTAGAATTTAGCTGAAAATCCTACATTGATTTTGTTCCCTGATTTTTTTTTTTTTAAATCCAATGTCATTCCTCCCTTCAGTTAAGAAATTCAGAAACATTGCAGTCTTTTATTTGTCACCGATTCATCTATGTGAATAGCGATTTGACATTGAGGAAGGGGGATATGGTTTTTCATGAGTCCTGGTAGATAGAGCTCAGTTTATCCAACAGAATATTAACATGAATCCTAAAGAGATTTAAGGCACAGATGAGTTTTTTAAAGTGGCTTTTGGCAGAACGGTGCCTGAAATACTAAGATTAGAGAAACCCAATTCCTCTTCTTAAAACATGCTGCTGTAGATGAGCTTTTTTATTACTGCACTGGCATTTGTGGAGGACAGAGACTGAATTTGTCTTTTATAATTAAATGAGAAAAGGAAATTAAAGCCAACTCATGTTATTCTTGCTGCTCATGTGTTCATACTTTCTTACTTTAGATGGATTTGACCAGGCATGAAACTTTAATATAACAAGAGTCTAGAAGTAGAAAATGTCATGACTCTGGATTTACTTTGAAATTTATTCACATGACCAGTATAATGTATCTGTTAGTTTCTAAGGTTCTGTCTCTCCTATTCAGATTCATTTCTTTTTGAGCCATACTCTGAAAGATTTCGTTTCTTCCCTCCTCCCTCCCTCTCTCCCTTCCTTCCTTCCTTTCTTCCTTCCTTCCATTCTTCCTCTCTTTCTCTCCTCTCTCTTTTTCTCTCCTTTCTTCCTTCCTTTCTTTCTTCCAAGAAAACCATCTTCCTTGTTGCATGGAATTGTGAATTACTGCGGTATATTTTAGTTACTCTGATATGTACATTTTTCTAACAGAAATGTTATTTATTTAAAGAAATGTAGGTCTAATTTTAAATAGTCTATAGTTGGGATCACAAACAACTTTTTCTTTCTCCTTCAACTGCAGCACTGCCTCCTAAACCACCAAAACCCACTACTGTAGCCAACAACGGTATGAATAACAATATGTCCTTACAAGATGCTGAATGGTACTGGGGAGATATCTCGAGGTAAGGCTACAGAAACCCTTCGTTTTCGCTAGATACAGAGAGTTTTAGATTAAGAGAAAGAAAAGCACCAGCTTGCTAAGTTCCATTTTTAGGATATCATCCAACATAAGCATGAAGCATAGTTGGTTCTCTTCCAAAGAAGACTAGAAAAAGTCACTCAGCACTAGAGAACTGTGGGTGCTGGATGCCACAGGAAATTAAATACCTGGGAAGTTTCGTTACTGACAGAGATGTCAGGAACAGCCTGGGTGAACCGGCACTGCCTAAGACAAATGTAAAGGCACCTGTCTTTATTAAGCAAAACTCTGAGAATTAATGGTAATTGTCCTGAACACAATAACGTGAAATGACATTATTTCTTAGCTTTTGGGCAGGGGGGGAGGGGGGTAAGGAGTTGTGGAAAACCTTTTTGAGATCATGACTTTGTGTGCTGATTTGTCATAGAGACTATAATGTTTGGTTAAAAAAAAAATAAAAACTGTGTCGCACAGATATATCAATAGTGAAAGTGGGCACCTATTAAAAAAAATTCTTATGCACCTGTTCGTAATGAGGCTGGAATTATTAACATTTCTATGTAACAAAGAAGAAACTGTTAGTAAGTTCTGAAAATGTAATTCATAAATGTAAATCTATGGGGGCAGGAGGCATATGGGAACTAACTGTACTCTCCACTCGATTTTGCTGCAAACCTAAAACTGCTCTAAAAGATAAAGGCAATTAAAAAAAAATAAGCTATGGTCACTAAATTCTCAATGTGAGCTTTGTCTTGTGTTCTTTTCATTTCAGGGAAGAAGTAAATGAAAAACTTCGAGATACAGCAGACGGGACCTTTTTGGTACGAGATGCATCAACTAAAATGCATGGTGATTATACTCTTACACTAAGGTGAGTCAGGGGATACAGCTGAAATTTGGGTGTTTGGGTTGATATCAAGACGTATTCCTTTATTAGAAAACGTTAATATCATTTTTTGTATTGTATTTACAGGAAAGGAGGAAATAACAAATTAATCAAAATATTTCATCGAGATGGGAAATATGGCTTCTCTGACCCATTAACCTTCAATTCTGTGGTTGAACTAATAAACCACTACCGGAATGAATCTCTAGCTCAGTATAATCCTAAATTGGATGTGAAATTACTTTATCCAGTATCCAAGTACCAACAGGTAATCAGAACTGAATTACCCAAGTTATGATGTTTAGACAAGACACTTTCAATATTTAAAAAAAAATTTTGAAACAGTTGAATTACGTGTAATCAAGTTTGAAGGAACTGCACTTGTTATAAAATTGCAGTTCTGTAATTGCTACCTAAAATAGCAATTTTAAAGATTTTGAAATGTCAGCTATTTTGTTAGATGATTGTTATTAAAATAGTTTATTCACTGAATTTATTTTTTTCTCCAAATTTTAATATTTCTAGGATCAGGTTGTCAAAGAAGATAATATTGAAGCTGTAGGGAAAAAATTACATGAATATAACACTCAGTTTCAAGAAAAAAGTCGGGAATATGATCGATTATATGAAGAATATACCCGTACTTCCCAGGTGAGTTTTCTGTGAAAATCAGATTAAAAGTTGAGAACTTTTAGTTACATAATCCTAGAATGTGTTGTACACTCAGCTTCAAAAAAGGGAAAAGAGTAATAAAAAAGTTTCAAGCTTTTTCTGAATGAATTGGGGGTGAGATCATTTATTTCTGAATTGTTGTTGATTATGCGAGTATAGTGTCTCTAAACCTTTTAAATTAAGCCCTATAAGTATCAGAATAATAAAATTAGTTCACATATACTAAAGGGTCAGTGTGAGTTGAGCTGACATAATTCCCGATTGAAGAAATCTGTTTAGACTGGACATAAATGTAACCAGAAGTTTCACAGCCTTGTCCAGTTTCTTCAGTGGAGATTTAGCCATTCTATATCCTGCCATGAAAAGGAGAGAGCACATTTTCTGCAGTGTTTTCCCAGACACTTACGTTTCTCTAGTCATTCATGTACCTGGAACTGCCAAAGGGAGTTGACGGCATGGATGCTGTAACATGGAATTGCTTGTAATAAGATGAAAACTGGAGGAAATTGCCAAACGATCACTTTTCATAGATTAAGAAAATTCTCCAAAGTGTTTGTTTCTGCAGTACTATTTTAGTGGGCTTTATGAGTCCCAGCCCACTAACACAGTACTTACATGCCAGATAACAGCACAGATCAAACGTCCTGGGAGTGTCTTACAGTAGGAAATTTTTCTATGAAACGTATGACATTGTCTTGTGAAAATTGTTTTGCAGGAAATCCAAATGAAAAGGACAGCTATTGAAGCATTTAATGAAACTATTAAAATATTTGAAGAACAGTGCCAAACCCAGGAGCGGTACAGCAAAGAATACATAGAAAAGTTTAAACGTGAAGGCAACGAGAAGGAAATACAGAGGTGAGTGAGCCATGAGTGTTGTCCTTGTCCTGATGTGAGAGAGAGCCCAAGTCCTCTAAGACCGCATAAAGATGATGTCACTTCCTGTGCTTGGAAGAATTTCAAAATGGCAGGAAGAGAAGGCATTCTTTACCTGAGGAAAACTGCAAGGAAGCTGTCGTGAAACTTTTTGCAAATTTGGGGGACCCTACATGTTGTACCCGGGTAATGACAAGTGTGTTTCTCTTGCCTGTAGGATTATGCATAATTATGATAAGTTAAAGTCTCGAATCAGTGAGATTATCGACAGCAGAAGAAGACTGGAGGAAGACTTGAAGAAACAGGCCGCCGAGTATCGAGAAATCGACAAACGTATGAACAGCATTAAACCAGACCTCATCCAGCTGAGAAAGACCAGAGACCAATACTTGATGTAAGTACTTGGAGTGGAACGCTGTCCGTGAATGACTGGTGGCTGCTGAAACCCAGGATGAGTTATTCACGTCTTTTCCTTTCCAAACTGTTTTCAGGTGGCTGACTCAGAAAGGTGTTCGGCAGAAGAAGTTAAACGAGTGGCTGGGCAACGAAAACACTGAAGAGTAAGTAACTGCTAAGGACAGAGACCACAGAAGCGCTCTCTCATTTTAGGAAAACGCATGACTCGCTTTGTTTTTAGAACAAGTGAGGAATCTTACTGAGTTTGGAACATCTTGTTAGGAGAAAATGTAGAAACTCAGTGCCATTCTCCAGAATTTTAAAAAAGGAAAGCTTAGCTAAGGAGGACTTGGATTTATTTTTATACTTAATGCTGTGAAACCACTCTCTTTGTCCATCATGATGTCTCTGAACATCTGAAAAATCCCCAAAATATTTTTGGAACAATCAGAAAAAACAATGATGCTTAATATATGTGAAAGCTTAACTCTCTGCCTTGTTTGAATTATTTGAAAACTGGCAGTCTTCCTAGTCAATCAATTTCCTGATCTAAACTGGCCAGACAACATTGTTTAATACCGTCCCCTCTGCCCAGGTCCCTGAGTGTGGTTGCTGGAAAACAGAAACAGTAGAATTCCTTGCTCACCCTTTGTCCTGGAAGGCTGTGCTGGAAGCTGAGCACTCGGAGAGGAAGCCTTCAGGCCAGATCGAGTCAGACACACACTGGCTGGTCTGACTTGCTTGGTCAGGGAGGGGCAGGAGCTAGGAGGAGGAGACAGAGGAGACAGTGAGGGGGCAGGTGGAGGAGGGGGGCACTGGAGGAGACAGTGGGGGGGCAGGTGGCTCCAGCACTCTGTATTGAGAAGCCTTCTCTTCTGCCTACTTAGCCAATATTCACTGGTGGAGGATGATGAAGATCTGCCCCACCATGATGAGAAGACGTGGAACGTCGGGAGCAGCAACCGAAACAAAGCTGAAAACCTGCTCCGGGGGAAGCGAGATGGCACTTTTCTTGTCCGGGAGAGCAGTAAACAGGGCTGCTACGCCTGCTCGGTGGTGTACGTATCTCCAGCAGACTTTTCAGACGCCTCACCAGGAGATGTCTCATTCATTCGTTCAGCCTTGGGAGCAAAGATTTGAAAACGTTCAAGTCTTGAATAGTCAGTACAATATGGAAAAGAGGAACTAAAACAGATACAATATTGTTTAAAATCTAGCCAGAAGTATCTGTTAGTAGGCTCTAATAGAAAGATGAGAAGCCTGTTGTTTGAGTTGGAAGACTGGGGTTTGGGTGCCAACTCAGCAACTGATTAATCATGAGACATCTTCAAGTCTTTTTATCCTGTCTTAAAAATGGAGATGGCAGTGCCTGTCTTTTTGGTTTTCCTCCCCGTTTTTGCCTTCCAAGACTAATATAATTAGATTCTGAGGTAATTCAAATAAGAACACCACCCATAGGTAAAGTACCCATCAGAAACAGGTCAAAACAAGAGAAAAGACCTTAATCGTTCTCCTTGAGATAGGTTTGCTCAACAGAAGGCACATATCTGGCTTATTTTTTTTTAATTTCTTAATAGTTTGAGGAGTACAGTAAGTCCTCTACATATATAAATCTTAAAGTTACAAACTTTCAAAGATGTGAATGTACATTTGCATATCCAGTCACATAAGTTAGTTTATGTGTCTGGTGTACATTGTCATGTATGTGCCTACTCTACAAGTGGTTGTCCTTTTGTGTGCTAGACAGTACTGTATAGAGTACAGTAGTATAATGTCTTTATTTCAAGCCCAGGATATCTGGGAGCAAGCATAAAAGCAGTGGTGATGTCGTTGGTACTGTGTAGCCAGTTGTGTTAGTTGGATACCTAGGCTAGGCTAACTTTGTTGGATTTACAAACAAATTGTACTTCCAAATGTGCTCTCGGAATGAAACTCATTTCTATGTAGGGGATTTACTGGACTTTGAAAAGTGTTTTGGATCATCGACATCACCATTTCAGAGACGTAGATGTCCTCTGGTAGGGAAAGGTTCTACAAATGTTATATTCAATGATTGTTCTCCATTGAATCAGAGACAAATTCCCACAGTAAAGAAGGAGTGAGAGGAACTTTGGATAAGGACAAGGACTAAGAGAATACAGAGTAAATACAGAGATGCCGAGTTATGTAGATGGTTCAAGCATGGCTTGAAAGAAGGAAGCCTATCAGTAATCATAATTGCAGTAATAGCAAGACTGTTGGCCATGTAGCAGCATTAGCCATAGTACTCATAATGACTGGAAGCCACCATTTGTGGGTACTTTCTGCATGCCAGACATTTCTTTGGGCACACTGCATGCGTTATTTCCTTTCATTTCTCAAAGTAACCCCTATTACATACACATTATGCCTGTCCTCCTTTTAAGCCATTTAAAGGATGAAAATGCAGCAGGGCAGTGACCTACCTAAGGCATCCAGCCGGTCAATAAGCGCCAAGAGCTACAATCACCTAGGACAGGGGTGTCTCCTTAAGCTGAGACTGGCCTGCATAAAATATTCTTTCATGATGATAATTTTTTTAAAATTTAAGTAGAAATGGAGTCTTGCTGTGTTGCCCAGGCTGGTCTCCAGTAAGGCTGTCCTTTTGCCATCCTCCACCTCCGCCTGCCAGAGTGCTGGGATCACAGGTGTGAGTCACTGTGCCCGGTCGATGATGATTTTTGTTTAGAACGCTTTGTGGAGGTGTGAATCGTCCCAGACCAGCTCAAAAGACAGCTGTTTTTTCTTTCCTCTCTAGGGTGGATGGCGAGGTGAAGCACTGTGTCATCAACAAAACGGCCACCGGCTACGGCTTCGCTGAGCCCTACAACTTGTACAGCTCCCTGAAAGAACTGGTGCTACATTACCAACACACCTCCCTCGTGCAGCACAATGACTCCCTCAACGTCACACTAGCCTACCCAGTATATGCACAGCAGAGGCGATGAAGCGCTTACCCTCTGATCCTTCTCCTGAAGTTCAACCACCCTGAGGCCTCTGGAAAGCAAAGGGCTCCTCTCCAGCCTGACCTGTGAATTGAGCGACGGAAGCAAAGCCATCTGTCTTCAGATGGGACTCAAGCTCTCTTGGACACAAAGGAAGTGGAGGGGAAGACGTGCAGCCTAGGGCTGTATGATGACCACGCGTTTCTAATCCGGAGTACTTATCATACCTTCCTTTCCCTTTTGTTTTTTGGGGGGGTCCCCTTTGGTTTGATTTAAAGCCACAAGGACACACAACACAAAGAGAAAAAGAAATGCAAAAATCTCTGCGTGCAGGGACAAAGAGGCCTTTAACCATGGTGCTTGTTAATGCTTTCTGAAGCTTTACCAGCTAAGAGTTGGGACTCTGGAGCCCGGAGGATAGATAGGCTGGAGAGCCCTGGCCTGGGGATGTCAGGTCCAGCCTGGTTTAGCCTGGGTGTTGCTGTGTGCCGTGGACCCAGACACAGCGCACGGTGGATTATTTCATTTCCTAACAAATGAACGATATGTAGCAGAAAGGCACTTTCGCTTACAAGGGACACTTTGGGGAGAATGTCAGTTCATGTCTGTGCAAGAGAGATTCTGTCATAGCGAAGTGCCAGAAGGTGTTTAGACTTATCAAATAAACAAAAACCCGCCAACAGAAAAATGGAGTTTGGAAAACAGGACTTAAAATGACATTCAGTATATAAAATATGTACATAATATTGGATGACCAACTATCAAATAGATGGATTTGTATCAATACCAAATAGCTTCTGTTTTGTTCGCTGAAGGCTAAATTCACAGCGCTATGCAATTCTTAATTTTCATTAAGTTGTTCTCTCAGTTTCAAATGTACCTTCAGAATAAGCTTCCCTACCCCAGTTTTTGTTGCTTGAAAATATTGTTGTCCCCAGTTTTTGTTAATATTCATTTTGTTATTCTTATCCTTTTTTAAAAAAAAAAAAAAAAAGAAGAAGAAGAAATGTACAGGATGCCAGTTTAAAAAAAAATGGCTTCAGAATTAAAACTATGAAATATTTTACAGTTTTTCTTGTACAGAGTACTTGGCTGTTGGCCCAAGGTTAAAAAGTTCATAACAGATTTTTTTGACTAAATGTTTTGTTGGGCAGTGCCTGATAAGCTTCAAAGCTGCTTTATTCAATAAAAAAGAAAAAGAAAAAGATATATGAATATGACAAAGTATCGCTGAGTCCAACAATGTTTTATGACTCTTAAAATACGGTACCTGGCAATGTTTGTTTCATAAAGAATTGTGAAGTTCTTGTATCTGGGGGGGGGTTGTAGCTGAGGGTTGTCTTGGGTGGGGTGGTGGGAGGGTTGGCGAGGTGGTATGCACTTTCTCTTTCTCATGATTACAGAGAAGAAGTGATTAACTGCAGAGTGAAGTTGCTTATACTTCAGGCTTTTTTCACTTTGATTTGCTAGTTATCAATTATGGCAGTTACAAACCTACTGTAACTCTAACCCGGTGCAGCTGGTCAGGTATTTCAGTTCTCATAAAGGAAGTGCCGAGAGTTTGTTTTGGGGTTCCTGGAACAGTGCTCACCTTTGTTTAGAACACTGGTTTGAAGGGATCATCTCTGCATTTAGGAAAGGAGTCTTTCTCTTTTTCGTGTTAGACTCTCCATGACCACCAACAAATACTTATTTTAGAAAAAGCATGATCTGAAAAAACACACGTGTAGTGGGATGTTGGTTCCTTTCCTAGCTTTTCATTCAGTTTAGAACATAAAGCAGACAGACACCGTCACACTGTCACGGCTCTGGACTGTATGGAGCTCATGAGAGTCACAGCCAGTGCAGGAGTTCGAATGGAGGTCCTCTTCATCCAAGTCATTGTATGTGTTCGACTTCACGATGGGGAAAAAGGAAGGAGCTGGTAGTGTAATCTTTCCAACTGAGGGTGAGAGTGAAAGGTCTCGCTCCCTGGCTTACATGTGCAAAAGCTGTTATGTTCAGTAGGGATTGTAGGTGTGCTGAGAGACCTAAAAAGATGAATCATAATCATGGTCACTGCCCTGGTATATTAAAATGAAATCATGCCGTTTCAGTTTCCTTTTCTCAACAACAGATTCACCCACAGCTGTATTTCTCTTCAAGTGAGAGTGAGGGCTTTTTGTTTTGTTGTTTTAATGTTGTTCCTTTTTAAAATATTTTGAAAGAATCAGTCTCGCAGCTGAGTAAATCATCTGTAGAATGTATTATTTTTCCTCTTTACATGAAGCTACTTATACTCAAGCAGAAGGCAATCCTACAGCCATACTGCCAGCCCTCAGACTTGACTGTACTGATCTGACCATCTCCCTCTCACCACCAGATAATTGATGATTTCCCTGGTTTAGGTTTAGGTCTGTGTCTTTGCTTTAAAACTTCTGATGGTGATATGCTTCCAGATCACACAGAAGTCTAACAGTTAATTCGTTAATAACTAGGTGTGTGGGGTTTTTTTTTTTCCACTAGCACATCATGTATGCTATTAAATACAAATCATTTTCATTTAATTCCTAAAATATAAGACCTGAGGTTGAATGTTAATTGAATTAAAAGCTACAGTTCTGTGAATGTTTCTGCTTCAACACCCTTCGCAAGATGACATGGTATTTAGGCAGTTGCCTTGTTTTTGCGTCTCACAAGCCTATGTGCAATAGATTTTTTTCATTGAACAGCAAGGCGGGATTCATTCTTTCATATGACCGAGAGTTACACCAGACCTATTCTGCCAAGTGACTGCTTTTTTGATCGCAGTGTGGAGTGCCCAGTGCACTTCTCTTAGATGTTTGGCCAGCAGGACACTTGGGGTCTAATCAGTCACCTCCTAACATCATCTCAGTGGCTCACAAGTGTGGACGGAAACAGCAGAGGCTCTCCTTATATGTGATTTTTATCCGTGCATCAGTTTCCCCCACTCAATGTAGCATTCTAAAGACAAAGCCAAAAGCTGAGCTGCAGAGAGGCTATGATAAGGTGTAGAAGCGGGAGAGTTGGGACCTCATATTTCACACAAGAGAGATCACAACCATGTGAAAAAGGCAGAAAGCATGTGTCCGCGACATCTGCTGACTTCACGGCCTTCGATATATGTATATATGTATATGTGCATGGACTGTGTTTTCAGTACACCTTTCAGCCAAAACTGATCCACCGTAGTTGAGTTCAAGTGCATAACAAGCAAATGTCTAGTACAATTCTTACGTACGTGTATGGGTTGTTTTGTTTCCTTTGAGGTTGCTTTGTTTTGTCTTATAAAGGTGAAAATTGTTTGCAAGTGAAGTGAGAAGTTCCGATTTCTTTGGCTTTTTGGTGTTTTTAAAAGTTACTCCTTTTAAGGAGCTGGTCTGCCTGACTCGCTCAACTTGGAAACCCTCGTTTTCTGTGTCAAGTCGAAATGTGTTTATGTGAGCTGTCACTGTGGGAAACCAATTGCTTTGTCATATAGCTGGTTATGAGCTAGTAACGTGTCTGGAAAGTCCTACTGATGTTCCTTATTGGGAGAAAAATTCTGCTGGTTTTAACAACTGTGCTTTTGCTATGCATGGTATCCAAGTCAGTTGGAAAGCAGACCCTGATGTCTTTGAGTTGAGGGTCATTTAAGAAAGGGGCAGTTTAAAGCACAATGCCTCACATGGGACAAAGTTCCAAAATGCCAAATTCTGATTTTTTAATAATCTAGTTATATATAATACTAGTATTATGGGTGGGGAGGAAATAGAATTGAGTCCATTGGAAAGACCATCCAACTTAACATTAAATTTGTCACCATGAAATAGCATTAGCTGCCCAGGATGCTGCTATTTAAAAAAAAAATAAAAAAAGCAAAACAAAACAAAAAACTCATTTATACCTGTGTGTTTTTTAAGGTTACAATCTGTTCAATGTTTTTACAAACCTGTTTCTATGACATTGTTAAAATAAAGTCGGTCTTTTGACGAGAGGAAGGATGTCACGGTCAGTTGTAATTTTGCCTTTACAAGGCAACTGGGGTGGGGGGGAGGGGGAGCGTGCCTCCTTGACATTTTGTTCAAGTTATAGATTCAATGGAGCTATGTCTTGTTGTTTTAAGTTGCTTTAATGCATTGTATTAGGTCCTCAAACAGAATAAAGGTTGTTTTGAAACTTAAGCTTTGGTTTGAAATTTCAATTATCACCTAAGAAATATTTCTAAAGCTGCTCTATCTTCTGGTCCATAAATGTTGCTGTTTCTATTGTCTTCCACCCACCCCTTTTTCATTCTGTTTATCACATCTCATAAAGTGAGGAGGAAATTGAGTGGTCGTGTGAATGACAGCTCAATGGCACTTGTATCGTTTCACTGTAAACTTAATGATGAGAAGAAATACCTCCAGGCAATGTCGTTTCAAGGGATGTTCTTGCTATAAAACTAGAATGCCCACTGTCCCTCAGTTTCTCTCCCCGCCTCATTCATACCCAAGCCTTGCAAATCATCCTCTAAGATGTGGTGTCCAGTTTTGTTTCACTGTTACATGGATATTTTAAACACTCAGAGAACCAGAGAACGGGGACAGTACATAGAGGTGCAGCCTGGGTCTTGTCCACAGGGAGCTAAGTCACACTCCAAATGCCGGTTATACATTGTATCACCTAGTCCAGACACATGTTTAACGGTGAAAGAACTGTTCCCTTTGTTGTTTTGCAACCCCCCTTGAATATATATGGCGCTCACTTTACCCCCGTAGACACACGGTCCTAGACCTAAAGTTGTGGTCTAGCAATGGCGTACAAACAAGTACAGATAATTCCTGTCAGGCTTACAATGACTAACATTCATGGAGGGTGGTATTAGCTCAGACTCGTTTTCTGCTTTGCCCCGCGCTGTTTGGTGTCACAAAGAACCGTATTCCCCAAGTCTATTGCCCTCTGGCTTCTAGGTAGTGAGTCTCTACCATGGCTCTGGCTTCTGCCAGATAGAACCTCACTTTCAGGTGTGAGCAAATCCCTGTCCTCTAGCTCTCAGGAGAAGACTCTGGCAACATTGCTTCCTTCCGCTTCTAGCCCAAAAAGTGGCAGCAGCTTTATGCTGTTGCTAAACCTCTGGTTTCCCACCCCCATGTGATTTCTGAGCCCTTGCATCACCTAAGTGATTAGTCAGAGCTTTTTAATTCTCTGTAAGAGCTAGAGTAGTTAATTTTTTCCTGAGTGGTCTCCGGTTGCTATACCATGTGGTTATTATCTATTACCCTCTTCCTATGCCTCTTCTGACTTAATCCTTTCACAACTCTATGGGTTAAGCTATTAGCCCCATCTTACAGGTGAGAAAACTGAAGCCCCGTGCACAACGGCTTGCTCAAGATCATGCTGCATTTTAGAGCAGAGGTGAGCACGCAGGCATTTGACCAGCCAGAGCTCTTAGCCCCTGCGCAATCATGTAACAGCCTTTCAGGGGACAATGCTCTAGGGAGGCCGGGCTCGGTGGCTCAGCCTGTAATCCCAGCGCTTTGGGAGGCCGAGGCGAGCGGATTGCCTGAGCCCATGAGTTAGAGACCCACCTGGGCAACTTGGAGAGACCTCATCTCCACAAGAAATCAAAAAAATTAGCCGGGCGTGGTAGCACATGCCTGTAGTTCCAGCTCCTTGGAAGGCTGAGGCGGAAGGATCGCCGGAGCCCAGCAGGTGGAGGCTGCGGTGGCCGGGAGCGGCCACTGCACTCCAGTCTGGGCGACGGAGTGAGACTCCGACTCAAAAAAAAAAGCACTGGGGAGTACAAAGAAAAGTTTACTGGTCCCTCCTCCTGCGGGAGTACTAACCATGTAGCTCTCCGATAGTAGACAGTGCGCACAGGTGCCCAATGTTGAACGGCAGGACACAGCATCGGTTTCCTTTAGGTCGGGGTTCCCAAAGTGCGGTCTTCAGACTAACAGCATTCGCATCTGTGTCACTTGGAAACCTGTTAAAAGTACAAATTTGCAGGCCCCACCCCTGACCTACTAAGAGTAAGGCCCAGCAATCTGTTTCAACAAGTTCTCTGGGTGATTTTAATGCATGCTAAAACTGGAAGATCACTACTTTAGATCACCTGATTATTGAAATAGTGCTTTTAGTGTTTTAATCAAAAATCATTACTATTAATGAATGATAAGTTACTTTATGATATAATTTGTGCTCATAGGATAGACTATAGTAAGAAGAAAATTGATTTGCATTGTAGAAGACCCAGCCTGGTCTTATCTCTGCCTTTAATCAGTTTGAGAACGTGGCCAGCTCAGGGCTCCTTTAGGTCACCAACTCCTTATCTGTGAAATAATGATATCCTTATCTGTGGTATCTGATCTCTGGGATTCCTTCTAGAGCATATGCTGTGATTTGATGTGCTGAATTAAGCTACTCAATCCCCCAATTCTCCGTGTATAATTTGAACACAATTATAACCCACAGCATGACTGGTGACCCTTTTGTGTGGCCGGTGACAATGGCCAAGTGAAAGCATGCAAAGAATTGGGGTTGACTTCTCTTGCTGACATCTTAAAAGCTACACCTGAGGTGAATCAAAATTGGCAGCCAAGTTCTCGACAGTGTGGAGGGGAGTGTATTTGGAAATGACATGCTATCTAAAGCAAGAGATGTTAAGAGAACTTGGCCTCCCAAACCCTCTGGGGTGGAAGGAGGATAAGTATGGTCTGTTAAGATCTGATACAGTATCAGCTCATTAAAAACACAAAAACAAACAAAAAAACCTTTTTTCTGAACTTGTCTCTAAAAAAAACCTATCTGAAAAATAAAAATCTGTTGCCCCATCTTAAGTGTAAATAAATATACCAGATTGTTCACTATCCAAACTTCAGATTATCTTCTCAAAAGATAGCACTTTGTAATCTCCAGTTTGGTATTGATGTCATAAATCAACTGAACAGAAAACCGCTGAGACTGAGACGCTTTGAGGGTGGGGTGTGGGGTAGACAGAGAGGATAAATGAGTAACCACCAACATGCTTATCTGCATTCTGCTTTGCAGAAGGAAATGTAGAAATTCCCTTCTCTTTGCAGCACTCAATCACACCAGTCTGAAGCATGACCTCAGGCTTAACTCGTTGTTAAATAAGAAATTCTAAAGCTATGCCTGTCTTGACACGCGTAAAGGTTTGGCCTATAATACGAGAACAGGACAGTCAACCTCTAACTACCACACTCTTCACATTAAGGACACAGTAGCCAGATAGCTCCATTCATCACGAGTTATGGTTTTGACTGGAAAATATGCCACACACTGTATGACTAACTCACTGGAACCGATTTATTTATGAAGCTCTCTCATGTCAGAGTTCAACGATTTATAGTCCAAGCCCTCACACACCAAAAAATATGGATGACTTTATCACAATGGAGAAAATGTGCTGGTCAATTTATGTCGCCTTTACTGTCATGTCAGAGAGGCCCTGTGTCACGTGGTTTCAACTATTGAAAATAGTTTGGTTGACCATAGTGATCATCTGTTTCTTTGGACCCATGAGGCTAAAGACATCTAATAAAACATAATTTATTGATTAATTCAAATGTTTGTTGGGCGCCTACTACGTCCTGGACACTGTACTTTCCTCTGGAGGTTTGGTAATAAAGATGACAGGAGAAAGAAAAAATTTTAGTCTTTTTGTGAAGGCAGACTCTTACGCAACTGCCGTCTATCATGAGAAGAGACATAGCAGAAAGGAATGAACACCAAGTCTCGAGAAACCAGAAGGAGGAGTCACAAACAAAGCTTCGGGGAGGAGATGACATTTCCGATAATCTAGAAAAACGGGCCCATGGACTCCTGGTTGTTGGTCCTCCTCGTTCTGTGGAGGCCAGACCATTGCCCTTCTTTAATATCAGCACTTTCCAGGTGAAGTGTTTGGTTTTGTAAGTACTATCAAAAACGTCATCTCCATGATAAGTTCTTGCCCGGAGTAGAATGCCTTCATCTGTGGTTCCCATGCTACAGGTGGTTTAGTCAGCCGGCACCACACATCTTAGCGCCAAGCAGGCCACCATTTCTCTACCCTGGGACAGAGGCTAGGGCCTCCCTGGATCTTTGCCTTGACACACAGATTGAGATCTGCATACAGTTTCACACTTTTCTTTCATTCCAGGTGAGACAATCCCAACCCTGGCTGCACATTAGAATCATGGGGTTATCCATTTCATAGGAAACTTGACTTACTGAATTGGAGTCTCTGGGAGTGAGGATTTAGGGGAGAAGGATTAAGATGACCAACAAAGACAGCTGAAGTGTATTTCTCCCGTGGAGTAAGCCAAGATAGAGTTTCTTCAGCACCCATAGACAAGACCAGCAGTGCATGACTCGTCAAAGAAGTGGTAATAACTACATAATGCGAAGAAGAGAAAAATCAATGGACCTGAGTTAGAACTTCAGGTCTAACCTTCATCTGGATTGTCAAACCTTCATCTGGATGGTGGCACAGACCACCTTCAGTTTCTGGACACAGTGGGGAAGGTAAGTGAAGGGAAGTTAGGAGTTCTGTGCTCCTGTCATAGACTTGGAGGACTCCCTGAGCCTTGTGGGACTCCAGTCTCTCATGAGAGACTGGCTTACCCACAGCGGTGCTCTGCCAAAACCCACATGGAGTGGTGCAGGAAAAAAAGCACGAAGCAGCTCTAGCCGCCATATCCCAGGAGCTCAACCCTTGCTGGTGGCTGCTTTCTAGTTGGCCTGGGAGGGGACAAGCCCCAAGGGCAAACTCTGCAGCGGTAGACATTTCCTCGCTAGGGGAGGCTGCCATGAGAACACCTGAGGCCAGCTGCATCTGGACATTCAGATCGCGGACTGCTGAGGCTGAGGTGGGAAGCCAAGTGGGACTCGTTGCCATAGCAACCTCTCACTCCCCCTGTAAACTTTTTTGTGCGACCCCTCCCCACAACAACTTTATCCCAGTGGCAGGAATTCCCTCCCAATCCCCACTGGGGTAGCCAAGAGTGTACATAGGTAGGGTGTTTGAGCTCCATTCCCTTCACACTCCCCTAGAGGGCTCAAAACAGACAAAATTTGGGTAATCCTCAGAGTCCCATCCTCCACCTAGGTTATCTGGGCATTTCCTTGTACCAACACATGCTAAGGAGAAAGCCCACAGTCACCATCACAGCTGGCTCTCTCCCACAAGCACCATCTCCTG